TGGGGAGGATTGTACTTACATTTTTTCAAGATTCTTTCCATGTAGCTTTACAATAAAGTAAAATTAGCTCATCTGGTTGTGATTCCTTTCTGGTTTACCCTACGAGGCCAAAATCAATCTTGCACGTATGAAAGTACAATTCTCCCCATCTCCTTTACAGCCTGAGAAACTAGGGAGGGTCCTTTCTGAGCCTCTTGCTCCATCCACTATCCAGCTGTGGGATATGCTATCTCTTATCTGACTGTTCCCTAGGCAACATCTCTTTGCCCAGTCTCCCAAGGCCTTTCCCATATACTATTGCATCAACTTAAGGTTAGACAACTACAGTTTTAAATGGGGCTGCCTTTGAAGACTCTGAGAAGCTGCAATTAATGTGAAAATGTGGTTGTGCACCTTCTCATGTGAAAGAGTTGCTTTAGGCATATAACAGTGATTCTGTGGGTACTGTATTGACTACTGAAAGCCTTCTGGATATAGTTCAAAGTGCTGGCTTTAAACTGTGAAGCCCTCTATGACTTGGGCCACAGGTATCTCCATGTATCATCTCAGGTACAATTGGCCCATGTGGTTGTCCCTTCATCCCAGAAAAGAGAACTTAAGGTCCGCTCCATTCAAGATATGGGGCAGAGGTAGAGAAATGTTTCTCTGTCTTTCTCTTTCCCTCTAGAATTGCTTTTCCCCAGAGGTCGAACTTGTTTCTGCCCTCTTGCCTTTAAGAAAGGGGATCAAAATAATGTTGCTTAATAGAGCTTTTGGAATGAGATCAAGTCATAGAATAATTACCAGTAGGGAGTGTGTCATTTGTCTGGTTTTCAATTGTATTGGTGAAAACCAGTGGGAGTTGTGCTGGAGCTCAGTGATGTACAGACACTAAGAAATGAATAAATAAACCTAGGACTTTGCTGCTTGAAAATTCATTTTATGGATGAACCAGTCCTAGCCAATGGAACCTACAGCATGTTCTCAACATTCAAAATGTATCTATCAGCCCCCAAAAGACAAAGTAGTGTCAGTTTATTGAGTCTTTTACCTCACATTTGCCAATGTTCCACCAGCTCATTCTTGGCCCAGCTGTCAAGTTAGGAGAAAACACCTTTCTTGAATTTTAGATTGTTGTGCATCTGTTAAAGGCAACCCAAGTCTGTCCACATTGCCCTTGGATTCAGCTTGATCTCTCTTAAAAGTGTAACAAGGCCATTTTGAAGTTACTGCTGTATAGTAACAGCTAAACCTTCTTTTTTTTCCCCCCTTTATTTCTTTCCCTGCCAAACTCTTCTTATCTCCCTGCTGTTATTATAATGAGCAAATATCGATACCCATTTGGCAAGAGGGCTTCGACAAAATGTGTTTTACGGTAAAAGGCCTGTAATTCCCAATGGCAAGCATGTGAAAGTTCAATTACTGCCCTTTAAATAGGAGAAAAACGGGAGTAGAGTAGGAGGAATAAATTCAATATTGGAGGAAAGCCATAGAATGTGTATAACATCAAATAAACAAAAATGATGCTTTTTGTAATCACTGCTGGATTTTCCGTTGCTCTGGATCTGAAATGCACACATCTATTTTTAACTTAAGGCAGTATTGAGATTTCAAGCTTGGTAGGTTAACCATACCATTTTGTTCAGTTTAGCATTTAGTTACTCTGAGGTCATGAAGTGTTCAGACTAGGTCACCCATGTTAGCTGGAAGGTTAAATTCTTTCTAACCAACAGCTCTTCAATCTTGCCAGTGTTCTAGAGAGAAGGGGGATTAACATGACGAGCCCTTAACCCATTTTGGGGGTTCACAGTAGACTCAGTGAACCAAACAAGCTGGGCTCACACAAACACCAAACCGTGAAAAAGTGAGCAAGTTCAGAACAAGCCCACTGAACATGCTATGGAAATCAGCTGCTGGTTTGGTAATTTCCCTGATTAAGCATTCTGGGAAGTCTCACATTCAGATCTATATGAAACCCGGAAGCTTACTTAGTATCACCCTTCAAAGTAGGCCAGGCCAGGAAACAGACACCACAAGGATTACAAGAATGCTGCTTTATGGTTATAGGGTATAATGACATGATCTTGGAAGCCTGCTACAGTTTCTATACCAAATAGAATCAAGGCTAGATGATTTTGATTTTCTTGCCTATGCCTTTTTTTACTGAGTTGTCATTTTTCCCTTAATAACTCATCCATCCCTTCATCCACATTCCTTTTACACTTGGTGATGTTAGTCTAGTCACTAGCTTAACCTAGCTTGCTTGCAGGCTTGTTATGAGGATGCAATGATGGAGAGAGTGCAGAAGACATTTGTATTCTGACTAGACCTCTTGAGAGCAAAAACAGTGTGTGTGTACTAAACAAAGGTGTCTACTGGGGGGTGGGAGTGATGTTAGTCTAGTCACTAGCTTAACCTAGCTTGCTTGCAGGCTTGTTATGAGGATGCAATGATGGAGAGAGTGCAGAAGACATTTGTATTCTGACTAGACCTCTTGAGAGCAAAAACAGTGTGTGTGTACTAAACAAAGGTGTCTACTGGGGGGTGGGATTAAAAAGAGTTGATATGGAGCCTGTGACCTTGTGATCATCTTGATTGCTGCACCTCAGATCTGGTAGCCCTACATATGATGATGCCTGACATTGAAAAAGATTGCTAATTTGTGCAACTGAGAGAGCAGCACAATGACTCTGTTCTCAGAATATGCTTAACCAGGTCAATTACAACATGATAAGCTTGCTTAGTTTTAAAGTTGATTAGTTTACAGGTATATGTGTGCATGTATGTCTTGAATGTTGTGGAAATGGCAAATATTTGGTTGATCTGTGGTTCTACATATTGTGAAAACTCAGTGAATAGGTTAAGGGTGTTGTATGAACACAGGCAAAGTCCAGGACATTTTGGAAAATGCAAATAGCAGTTCCCAGCAGTTCAGCTACCTGAAGCAGGTTTACCTAGCTGGGATTCCAGTAGTAGCTATAGGATGCTGGATGACCAAGTCTTGGACCAGTGGAAAGTATGAGTAAGCCTTACTGTATCATCTACTTTGTCAGCACAAGCTCTTACATTTCTTCTTCTCCCTATTTCTAGAGAATTTCATGGGTGATTTTGTGCTAGGAGAAGCTAAAAAGGATTTGGATAGTATGTGTTTCCATACATTGTGAGAATACAACCATCATCTTAGCATCTTCTGTGAATCAAACCATCATGATAAGCCATCATATGATTTATTGTTATTGTTTTGGGTGTTACATATCATGTGACAACAGCAGCTCTATTTTCTTAATCTGGGTTTAGTGTTTTGCAAATGATGTGAATATAACTTATGTGTATGACAGTGTGTGCTTGGTGGGGGTGATGGCGACAAAGTAGCAGAAAAATTATACCCCATTTCTTTATACTTAGAATTATAGGCTCATAGATGCAGAGTATAATGCAATGGAGTATAATCTTTCTGCTGCTTTACATTGTTCCTTATAATCGAGATCTAGGAGACGCTGTTTATGCTAACTTTCCTCATGCTGGATCCCTCCAAGTGGGTGAGACTATAATTCCCAGTCTCCTCAGCCAGGTGCTAAGAGCGTGTTTGAAGGGCACCCTATTGGGAGAAGTGATTTTAGTAGGGTAATATGAGATACAGCATCTTTGCACTTTAATTTATCATAGATGAAAAAAATTCAGCGGGGGAATCAGATTTTACCCATTTATATAACAGAGGACTTTACTACGGCTCGGCTAACTATATTTCAGGAATTGGAAGGGTCATTTTCTGCTGTTCTTAATGTTTTCTCTCAAACCATTGAACGTTAAGTAATGGGCTTTATTTATCACAACCAAAGCCACCTGAAGGGCATACATGCAGAAGCTTTTGTTACTAATGGCACTGGAACATGCTGCTAAAGTCTTGATAGATCATGTATTCTGACTCATGCAATAAAGCAGAATAAGAAATACAGCAAGATTATATTTACCCTGCACATGATTGATTGACGAGTTAGATGGAGACGTTTGTCTGAAGTTCCATCATGAATTCAAAAGATACGTTTCTTTTATGGAAGTTGTACTTTAATTCAACTCTTCTCATGCCAGACCTCATAGCATTGCTTGATCAAACTGGACATGTTCTGAAGCTTACCACCCATCCACCGGTAGAAGCCTAGAGAAGTATACCAAACCAGGACTAGTATATCTGGGCTGCAGAAATCTGGAAGACCTTGTGGCAGCAACATTTCTGTGCTCCTTGGCTACCATCTAGCAGTCATCCAGATTGTTGTGGGCCAGAAAGGGTAGACCTAACACAAAACAGTAATATTATAAAGCACAACAGTAGTTGTACAGCAATTTTAAAAAGTCTTGCCATGAGATTAACAAAAAAAGACTAGGTAATACAACATACATCTGTCTTAGGAAAATTTTATTCATGGTGTAATACAAGTTGGCAAATGTTTGGAGATGTCATTTCAAACTGGACTGATTTTTTAAACTGGTCTGGTGGTTCACTGACAGCCAGTACAAGGATTTAAAGATTGGTATTACATGGTTCCACTGCACTTTCACAAAAATTTAATAGTAAGGTGATGTAATGGGCTGTGAGAATAACATTGAGGAACAGGAAGAACCTCAGCCAAGGCAATGGTCAGATAAGAGAAACCAGAGTCCAAAGCAGGAATGTAACTTGAGAAAGCATCTCAGACTTGACCTTCCCTAGTTCTTTTGAACGTAAACGCAGGAGAGGAGAGGCACATTCAGAGTGGCAAAATTCTGTTACTGTAACCCTATAATAAAAGTAGTTTTAGTATACATAATTTTGGTAGTCAAGTCTGGTCTATCTTAAAGGGCTGACAGGCAGCTGTTTCCAAGCAGCACCCAGAAAGTGGTGATTTTTTAATGGTCCGTACTAATCAGCAAGAAAGTGCAGCTGAGAACTGCTTGGATACTTGAGAAAAGGCATCTGATAGCTTTAATGGTATGCATGTGCATACGTTTATTGCAATTCAAAATGACATTTGTCATTATTATTATTATGGTTGGTCGCACAGTCAGCCAGATGTTTAGATTGGATTTGGCATTTTTGTCCACCTATTGAGTCCTCCCCAAGGACCTGGAGTAGGCAGACGTTGCTGTTTGAAGGTGTTAAAAGTGTCATCACAGGATGTAAGCTAGACCAAGTAAAGCTGCCTTTTGCAATGGACAGATGGTGATTTTTTCAATGCTGAAGGTGTTCAAGTGGTGCTCCAGATGTTTTGGGATTGCACCCAATGTGCTATTACTATTGGTGCTATCTTTGCTTTCTTTTGCTTTACTTCTATTTGCAGGTCTTTATATTTTGTGATTTTCTCCAACTCTTTCTCTTCTATTCTGCTGTCTCCAGGTATTGCAATATCCACTATCCAGACTTTTTTTGTCTTTCTTATAAACAATTGTTAAGCCTGGGGTGTTATGTGGCAGGTGCTTGTCTGTTGGAATTCTAAAGTCCCAGAGCACTTGAGCTTCTTCATTTTCTATGACTTTGTCTGTTTTGTGGTCCCACCAGTTCTTGCTTGCAGGCAAATGTATTTCTTGCAGATATTCCAATGCACCATTGTTGCTACTTTGTCATGCTGCTGTTTGATCTTCTTGCAGCAGCTAACTAGATGGTATTATTATTATTATTATTATTATTATTATTATTATTATTATTATTATCTGTACTTCTTGCAAAGGAAGAAGTACAGTAAATAATGTCCAGAGCCCAGGGCAATACAGCACAAACACAAGATACAAGCACACAATATAACAAGAACTAGGTAACAGAGATGATGGTGATGATGATTTTCTAAAAGGTCACCACCATTTTTAGAGTACTTTCAGTATGTCTCTAGTTGATCTCCTCCAGCAAATTTGTAAGCAAATGTCCTCATTAGTGCAGAGGGAACAGCCTGCTCCAAATCAAATATAGTGATGTCTAATATCATTACTGGGGAGGGGGAATCCTAAAACAACATGGTGAAATGATTCTACTTCTCCTCTAACAAATCTGTTGTCTATTAAGGTAGATGTATAATAGCCTTCCAATGGATAGAAGAAAAATAATCCAACTAGATAAGATGCACAAAACAGTTAAGAAATAGTGATTTTACTACAAGAGAGTTCATTCTACTACAAGAGACTTAAAGAAAACAGAGAAGTGCATCTTCTGCACATCTGATAAATCAATTTGTCTATGTGCCATCAGGGGCCTAGAGAAGTAGACTCAGGGAGGGAAATTGTCTGCTTTGAGACGTATAACTGGAGCCTCTCGAAATATAGCTGGGCTGGCTTATCACGCTTGAAAGATAGTGAAATAAGACCCACCTGCCTGTAAGACTGCCTGTTACATCTCAAATCTAAAAGGATTTAACTATTCAGCTGCCACCCCCCCCCCCCCCTACTATAACATGATGATGATGTATTTTGACCAAGAGGAATGGAAGCTGCAGGAGACAGTTTGAGAAGGGTACATGAGTATCTCCTGGGGGGTAAGGAACACCATGTGTCATCATTGAAACAGCAAGTATTACATGATCTGTGGCAGTCATGATGCACCTGATATCAGCATGGCTTGTATGGGATGCTTTTCAAAGGGGAGACATCGAATCTGATCCCAAGCTGAATAGAAGCAGCCTTATTTTCTCACCTTTCTCTCTGATGCAGGCAGATGGAATGTCAACTGATGGAGGCAAGCTTGGGAGGGGAGGAGCCAAGTAGCCACTGGTGTAAACTCTGTCAGTGGAGAGGACCTTGAGGTTCCAACTCTTTCTCTGATGATCCATCAGAGGCGAGATGAGTTGGTTGAACTTATAATCGAGCCATCTTTGATCAGAACGCCTTGAATAGGAACTACACAAACTCTTATTTGTATTTTCTTCAATTGCAGGTGTTCAACTCTCCTGTACTGCAGAATAACAGCTGTGAAGGTCCTTTTTGGTATGACAGTTGAAAAGGAATAGAAGATCTTTGCACTGGTGGTAGCTGTGATGTCTCAGATGATATTTGGTTCTCCTTGTCTCTTGTTCACAATGTACATTTGGGGTTTATCTGTCTTCCCTTTACTCAAGAGAAAACCTATTTGAGAAAGAGGACTCAAGGCTTCTAATCTGCAATAAAGCTTCTTCAAAAATCGAATGGATGCTGTAATCAAATGAGGTTATTTTAGGCAAAACTCAACAACACAATGAAGAAAGCTGAAGGAGGATTCAAATATAAGCATCTAAGATTTAGAGAAGCAAAAAGACCCTAAATGCAGATTTTGATTTTTTAAAATTTATCCCCTTACAAAGATACTGCAGCAACAATATCTGTTTTTGCAAGCTTCCAAGAAGAGATGATGCAACAAAAACAGACAATATTCAGGTTTCACATCTGCAGTGCCTCAGATCACGTAATAGGCTTTTCACATCCTTCCCCTGAGAGTTCAAGATACCTAGAACTTTAGTCAATCCCCTTACGCTTTACCCAGCCACTCCACGCTTCACAAGAAAAAACATGGCAGCCAATAACTCGAATTTCAATGATGATGAGTTTTTGAAACATTTCTATGCCATCATGTACACAATCATCTTGATTCCTGGGCTGATTGGGAATATTTTGGCTCTCTGGATCTTTTATGACTATAGGAAAGAAACTAAACGAGCAGTGATTTTTATGATCAATCTTGCAGTTGCAGACCTGGCACAAGTTTTATCTTTGCCACTAAGGATTTTCTATTACCTGTCTAAAAGTTGGCACCTGGGGAAGGGATTCTGCATGTTTTGCTTCTACCTCAAGTATGTCAACATGTATGCAAGCATCTACTTTCTGGTTTGCATCAGTGTGCGGAGATTTCAGTTTCTCATGCACCCTCTGAAGTTCAGTGACTGCAAGCGCATCTATGACATGTACATCTGCATTGCTGGATGGATTGTTGTCTGCATTGGCTGCCTACCTTTCCCCCTTCTACGTCTTACCTCCAACGAGACTTGGGCCAGCGATAAATGCTTTGTGGATCTTCCCTTGAAGACTGCGGATGACCCCATCTCAATAGCAATGATGTCCCTAGGTGAGCTGGTTGGCTTTATAACCCCTCTGTTCATCATCTTGTATTGTTCGTGGAAGACTATCTTATCTCTCCAAGAAAAGAATTCTGTTTCCCAGGACCTTGGGGAGAAACAGAAAGCCTTAAAGATGATCCTGACTTGTGCCATTGTCTTCCTGATTTGCTTTGGTCCTTATCACATCAGCTTCCCTTTGAATTACTTGGTCAAGTCCCAAAAGATAGAAGATACTTATGCCCGAAAGGTTATTTTGTTCTTCCATGCATTTGCCTTGTGCCTTGCCAGTTTAAACTCATGTGTTGACCCTGTAATTTATTACTTTACTACAGATGAGTTCCGAAGGCGGCTTTCGAGACAAGATTTACAGGACAGTATTCAGCTTAATAACATGCGTTATGGAAATACAGATAGTCCATCCCAAATAAGTATAATTGGGTGATTGGTAGGAAACCCATATTATGCTTTTTTATAACACCTTCATCTGATGCCCTGGCAACTTGGGAAAAGCACAGATTTACAGCTTATTTTAAACATTTGACTAGAGGACGTTGACTTTGGATGTCAACTTTTCCTTGCACATCTATCAATACTACTAATTTTAAATACTTTTCAACATTTATTGTCAACTGCAACCAATTGTAACCTGAAATATTATAGCTGGATAAATAAGCCATAGTAGATTATCCAAGGGGATGCAGTGGCGCAGTGGCTTAATGACGCTGAAAGTTGCTGGCCAGAAATGGTCGACACTTCAGCGGTTCGAGCCCCGCCCCGCGCAGCAGAGCGGGCTCCTGCTTCCTC